AAAGAGGTGGATGATATTTTGTAGATCAGCTACTGCAAACTCCTTCAAAAATATCTATCTTGGCTTTATTGATGAACTCCTCTGTTCACAGAGAATCTTTGATGAGGGTATTGAACCAAGCTTTTATGGAAAGTGATATTCCTGTAGACTAATTCAGCAGTGTAGTAGGGAACATTACTTCATGTAATAACCTGAGTTTCTGCAACGATGAACTGTCCGATGAGGGAAGTAATCATAATCTGGCCCTCCGCATCTCTATGAACTGCAAGAATGATTCGTTATCCAATGTGCTGATTGATAATGGATCCGCATTAAATGTTATACCAAGGAGCATGCTTATGAAGTTGAAATATCAAGGAATGCCCATGCGCCCAAGTGGCATTATTGTGAAAGCATTTGATGGATCAAGGAAATCTATTATTGGTGAAGTGGACTTGCCTATTCATATAGGCCCAAATTTGTTTCAGAATACTTTCCAGGTCATGGATTTTGTACTCGCTTATAGCTGCTTACTAGGATGGCTGTTGATACATGAGGCAGGGGTTGTCACTTTGACTTTACACCAGAAGCTGGAGTTTGTACGTGAAGGAAAAGTGGTAATTATAAATGGAGAACATGCATTATTGATATCTCATTTGTCCTCTTTCAGCATTGTGTAGGCGGATGAAGCTGCTGTTGGAACCCAGTTCCAAGGTTTATCCATTGATAATGTAAGAGGAAATGAGAACTCTATGGATTTGTTTAAGGATGCGCAACAGGTTGTGCGTAATGGCCATAGTGAAGTATAGGGACATATTGTTGATCCACCTGTAAACAAGAATAAAGCTAGCTTGCGGTTCTCTATGAAGAATAATAAGGGTAAGAGCATGAAGCCGAAGGCTACTACAGGCAAGTATCAAGACATCTTTCATAGCGGGGGTTATCTGCACCCAACTGTTTCTGAGATTAATGCCATTGTGGAAGATGAAGCAGAGCCAAAAATGCCAAATTATGTGACGCACGGAGTTAGGGTTTAGAACTGGATCACCATTTATGTTCCCTCTTGCATACATGTTTCAAAGTAATTTATTTTTGTTAATCTTTTTGAAAAGCTTTCACTCTGCACAAGGTGAAAGTATTAATGTTGTACGAGCTTATCTGTTTGCTGTGATTTTTAAATCACTAATAAAAGTTGTCTTTGTTTCCCAAATTGTGTCTTTATTTTCTGCTTTTTCTTGGAAAATGTTAATCAGAAAAAACCTTTCAAAATAAATAATAACTGAAATTCAATCTGCATGATCACTTGTTATATGTGTCAGTTTCTAAAAGCAATCATAAATCATATGTGCAGATTAATTAAAAAACCTATTGAATACAATTACCCTGCACCATCTCCCAACTTTGAATGTCATGTGTATGGGGCCGAAGAAGAAGACTATGATGAGATTCCATAAGAGGTCTCACGGTTGCTTGAGCGCGAGGAGAACACCATTCAGCCATATTAAGAGCCATTAGAAGTAATCAATTTGGGTTCAGAAGAAGATCCGAAGGAAGTCAAGATCAGAGCATTACTACATCCTGATGTGAAGAGCGGGTTAATTGATATATTGAAAGAATACGTGGATATTTTTGCCTGGTCTTATCAAGACATGCCTGGTTTAGATATAGATATTGTAGAGCACCATTTGCCGCTGAAGACAGAGTGCCCACCAATCAAACAAAAGTTGCAAAGAACTCACCCAGATATGGTAGTAAAGATGAAAGAAGAAGTTCTAAAGCAGATTAAAGCCAGTTTTCTTGTGACATCAGTGTACCCTCAGTGGATTGCCAATATTGTCCCAGTACCAAAGAAAGACGGAAAAGTCCGCATGTGCGTAGATTACAGAGATCTAACTAAAGCTAGTCCAAAAGATGATTTTCCATTGCCACACATTAATATGTTAGTGGATAGCACAAAAAAATTCAAAGTTTTATCGTTCATGGACGGATTTTCCGGGTATAATCAAATAAGGATGGCTCCTGAGGAAATTAGTGTTTAACGACACAAAAATTACGACAGTTATGTGATAACTGTCGTAATTCACATATAGAGACAGTGTTTACGACAGTTGACACCAACCGTCCCTAATATTTATTTTGCGACGGTATATTTAACCATAATAATATTATTATTACGACGGTAAAACAACCGTCGGCCCCCATTTAACACTTTTAACATTGATTTTTCACCAACAACTAGTCACGACGGTAAAATTAACCGTCCTAAAAGGCATATCACGACGGTAAAGCACCCGTCGCACCCTTAAACCTTTCACGACGGTAAAATTATCCGTCCTAAAATTCATTTCACGACGGTAAAACAACCGTCGCACCCAAAACCTTTAAAAATTCTCATGGACACGACGGTAAAACACCTGTCGCGGTAAAACAATTTTTTTTTGAGATTTATATAGATTTGATTTTATATCCATCATTAACACATTCAAATATAACATGAAATTAAAATTTAGATTTACAAATTATGAACCCTAAAATATATTATCCAATGTCTAGTACTAAAAAAGATCTTAGAACTAAAAGAAATTAAAATATTGAAAATTTATGAGTTCATTATTCTTCACTTTTATTTCTTTTCGAGATTAAAAATATTCCACAAAAATGCATTTGCACAAAGTTGAATGAAAAAATGATTCTCATTATAATAGAAATGAATTAATTATAATGATTTATAGTGCAAACTCAAACCCGTTCTTCTTCACACCGAAAGAAACCCCTTGACACCGAAAGAAATCTCTTCAAATCGCTCATCTTCACACCAAAAAACGCACAGCAATGGAAACTACATCCTCTGCGTTCATCTCTTCAAACACAGTAAGTTTTATGTATCACTTTTTGCATTGTTCTCATCTCTCTCATTCTCTACCATTGATTTCAGCATTGGAGATTCACTTGAATCTTATGGTTGAGCTCTTTGTGATGATTGATTTTGAGTTTGAATATATTGAATTGATGTTAGGTTTTCTAATTTGTTATTTTAGGGTTTTATTTCTTTTTATGATTTTTTAGGTTTTCTAATTTGTTGTTTTAGGCATAAAACTGATATAAGAGGACCATATACTGATCCATATAAGAGGTCCATATTTAATAAATGTAATATATTTATTGTAGACTAGATTGAAGTTTTCAATAAATTTGTGCTTAACTTGCTCTCAGGTTCCTGATTCGAGTGTCGCGGGGACCCTTTATGGTTTCAATGAGGAAGCAATTCCTGAAGCAAAGGACGTCGTGAGAGTTGATTTAGTGGGAGGGTTTGCTTTGCAAAAGTGTACATCCGAAAGAAGCTACTTTCGGTGAGTTTTACGTGTACTTCAGCATAACAATTATAGTTTAACTGAAATCGAAGGGAACCACAAAGAAAATGATTTTTAGTATGCAATCTTAATTCAATACTTAAAATTTTGTAGGACAATAGCAAATATGGATGTAAAGGTTGATTTTGTTCCTCCGTCTTTGATAAACTTTATTTCAAGGCAGCTCATTGGCAATGGTTTCAGGCTTTATCAAAAGGTTGCAGTTCGTTTTTAGTTATACTTCTTTGACATACAACTTATTTTACGTTTGAATATTCATTTTGGTCACTCGAAATAAAAGTGAAACATCTTTGCATCCTTGCATTACGATTTGGTACTGTTTTCTATCATCTTTTGAAATTAATCTATTATGATAATACTATAGGTTGTGGCATCTGTGATGAGCCAAGATAAAGAAGAATTCAGCAAGGCCTTGGGGGATCCATTGTATGCTAGAATCCGCGAGGCTCAATTGGTGAGATTGTAGAATTAGGTAAGGAAGAGATTGTACAAAGTGCCGAGAACGATGTGAAAGTAAACGACATTCCAAATGACAGAGTTAGTGGAGTTGTACAAAAAGGCAAGAGGAGTGTGTATATCCGCTCAGAGGTGGAACAGGCTCTAGAAACATTAGACAAGGCCATTTCAATGGTTAGGGAATACCGATTACGTTCCCCGATTGCCACTTCTAGCTTTGCCAATGAAGAGTCTCCTTGCATGAAAAAATATGGTAGAATTGATTCATTTTCCATAAAAACTGTTAAACCTTGTGATAACAATGAGGTTAGTGTTGGTTCATATTCTTTGGAAAATGGAGCAATTCTGGACCAAGCAACACGCCGCAACAAGCAACTAAATGCTGATTTGGTTCAAGACATCTCTTCAGATGACAAAGCCAAGTCCAGAAGGAAGAAAAAAAGTAACGCCGTTGTAAATCAAGGTATGTCTTCAAATAAACCAAAGAAGTTGAGCAGGCATAGAAGATATTTGTGCTGTAGTTTTCCGCATTAACCAAAAGGCGAAAGCTTAATGGTTAATAGGAGAGGAGAGAAGACATGGCATTTTGAGCCTTTGAGGCATGTTGTCAACATGTAACCCCAAATCTCAATAACTTATTACACATTTTGTATACCATAGGTGATGATTTAATAATGGTTAGGTAGTCAAATATACGTATACAAAGTTCTCCTTATACAAATATACTAGGGATTTCAATTATCTCGAGGGATTAGTATCTACTGGGGCACTTTGATTTACCCCCAAAAAGGGTTGTCCTTTTTGTCTTGTTGAAATCTTTTTTTTCATATTTATTGTTCTACTAATCATGTAATATATGTAGACTATCTTGTGTTTGTCAATATATGGTAAAACACTCGTGTTCTTCTGTGATTTACGTGGGGTCTCCGCTTGGCAACTTTCACTAAGTATGGGTTGGTGAATGGTAGAGATTACATTCCAGGTATAAAGTTGGTAGGAAATGGTCAGATACATATTTTTAGTTTGATCCTGAGTGGGAGGAGAGCTGCTCAAGAATTTCAATAGATTTAGTAGGTTATTTAGAATGACGGGGAACAGAGACCATGTCAATAGGAAGATGAGGTGGTAGGATTTTGTTGGCTAACGTTTTGAAAATATGTTAAATGTTTGGATGTGAAATTAGAACTCGAGAGAATGCTATTCATTCAAAAGAGATTACCATATGAACAGGATCATGTCAACATAAATGATTCTTCAACTTGTGATGTTATCCGGAACAAATTGGTGCCTCATAAGGTGTTATTACTTGCATGGATCATGTCAACATAAATGATTCTTCAACTTGTGATGTTATCTGGAACAAATTGGTGCCTCATAAGGTGTTCTTACTTGCATGGAGGCTATTTAATAATAAAGATTCAGATGTGGAATTACTCAATTGAAATCCAATTTGTGTGCCAAATTGTGATGATATTCAAACTTTTCAATATTAATTTTATAAGAATTTTAGTGCAACAGTTAAACATAGCTTTTCCTAATGATGCATTCTGTTTTATTCACGTGTATAAAAAGTTTATAGTTTGATGCATCTTAATATAACATACCTGTCTAGATTTTAACTCCCTTGCAACCCCTGCTGTTATAGCAGAGGTGAAACATTCCGCTGCTTCTTTGGCTGCTCAAAGTCTATTGCTAAGGTGAGAATTTCATTTTCAGTGTTTATAGTTAATGGCTAGTTAACTGTATTATACTCATGCTGGTTATTCTAAATCAATACAATTGATTTTGAAATGTTATTGTGTTCCCATTCACATTGGATCCTTTTCTGCTCTGGTACTTTCTTTACTCGAGTTTAGTTTATAAGTTTCGTGAAAAGTTGATATGTAGTTACCTATGATTAATGTTGAATTCTATATGTGCTGATGAATTTGTTGCTGGATATTGAGGATGATACTGCTTGGCATGCCGCGGTGTCTGAAGATGAGGATGTTGGTGAGACTAGTAACTACGGATTTGGACAAGAATGTTTGGATAGACTTCTACCACTAAGGCCTCAAGGGTATGTGTGGTCCTCTCATAGCTTATAGATGTATCTATTTTTTTCTACAAAAATTTTGGTATATGATACTGGTGTCCATGGTTAAATATTTGTACTCGTGAGGGCGAAAGCGATGAAAATGTATACATGTTTTGTTTCATAAGTTGGTTTCACCAGTTAGTAACCTTTGAGCTTAGTGATTACTTGAGTCTTGGAGAACTAATTCATAATACATTGACCTGTTGTAAATGATGTTTCAGGTGTTTTTAATCATGTTTAACTTCTTAGTCATGTTTTGTTTCAGCTTTCAGTCTCACAATCTGAGAGCAACAATCACTCTAGACCAGCAAGAAGCAGTTCAGTGACTCGTCCTTCGATCTCCACTTTACAGTCTCAGTACAACAACAACTATTCTTCAAACAGATCCTCCTCCACAAATATCCTCAACACAAGCTCATCCTCAGTTTCATCTTACATTAGACCATCTTCCCCGATACCTCAGTTTCATGAACCTAGAAAAGTCTCACATGCTCCTGAGGTAGCTACAAGAAGATCAGTTAAAGCCTCAACCAACACAACTGACAACTCTGGATTTGGAAGGAATATCTCAAAGAAATCCTTGGATATGGCAATCAAGCACATGGTTTGTATACTCTATTTTGTTGCCGAATCTTATTTTGTGAAGATGTATGCTCCAAGCAAGTTTGTTTTATCACGCAAACCCAATTTACACGCACTTTTCTGTTTAACAGGACATAAGGAACGGCTCGGGAAATCATCGTGCACTATCAAGCACCACACTGTTTCCACAAAGTATTCGAAATTCCACGCCCAAGAGTCAATATAATCGAGGTTCAAGTGCTCCACCAACATCTATCGAAGCGAACGGAAACATACTAAACAAAAATAATGGATCCCATTTTGACGTGGTAAACGGAATCAATAGAAATATGATAAAAGGAAGAGAGATAGATGAAAGACAATACTCAGCAAAACTGAGTGAAATTGACGTATACGAGAGCTCTCGTTACGACGCGCTGTTGCTTAAAGAAGATTTGAAGAATACAAACTGGCTTCATAGTATGGATGATAAATTTGATCAAGGCTCCTTATTATTTGATAATGGATTCGAGAACCTGCCTGAGCCTTTTGGTCTCTTATAGTATGTGTATCTAAAGAGGTTCTGCTTGAAGCAATTGTAACATGTTATTTATGTTGTAATTCTTATCTCATTTTCTTTTTTAGAAAGATGGGATATTTCAAATTATAAAGCTCAAAGTGGAAAAGAAAGTAAAGATGCATTATATGTTTATATGTTTTCTGCAATTTGCAGAGAAATCAGTGGATTTAAATTCGATCTTATACATATACAAATAATGTAGAAAAATATTTCGTGATATAGGTCCAACTTTAAACAAAAGTCAAGACATAAACAAAAGTCATGGCGACAGTAGCGAACCGTCGTAATCAACAATTAAAAATAATCAACAAAAGTCATGACGGTATCGAACCGTCGCCATAAACAATTTAATCAATTTCAAAAGATATTCACGACAGTATCGAACCGTCGCCATCAATAATTAAAAGAAACTCAAAAGATAGTCACGACGGTATCAACCCGTCGTAAACTTGAACGACAGTTTTTGTAACCGTCGCGAAATAGGTTAGGGACACACACTTCTGCGACGGTAAAGCAACCGTCGTGGAAAGCAAATTGCGACGGTTTTAACCGTCGTAATCTACAAAAATACCTGTCGCAATCTGCCAATTTTCTTGTAGTGCCAAGTGATTCCTCCCATGGAAGAGAAGGAGATGACTAAGATTTTCTTAAAGACCCTAGGTTCTTTCTACTATGAGAGGATGGTAGCGAGTGCGCCAAGTGACTTTACTGAAATGGTAGGCATGGGTATCCGTTTAGAAGAGGCTGTAAGAGAGGTCCGTTTAACAAAAAGTGAAAGTTTTGGAAATACGAAGAAGCCATCCTACGGGTTTTCCAAAAATAAGGAAGGAGATACAAACACTGTCATGTAAGAAAGGAGGGTTAATCCTCCTAGAAGAAATTATCAGCGTCATCAACAAGTCACCTCAGTTACTCCAGTTGTTGGTGTAGCTCCGACTACCGTTGCTTATCAGAGACCATCCCATCAGGGGAATCAAGGGTATAATCAAAGAAGGGTGAGTTATGACCCTATTCCTATGAGTTATACAAAATTACTCCCAGTTTTAATTCAGAAGAGTTGGTTCAGACCCGACCACCTCCCGTTGTACCATCACCGTTACCTTGGTATTACAAGGCAGACCAAACATGTGCTTTTCATCAGGGAGCACCAGGGCACAATGTTGAGAACTGCTATCCTTTGAAGACTGAAGTACAAAAATTGGTGAAGTCTGGTATCCTATCTTTCAAGGATGTGGGCCCTAATGTGAAAGATAATCCTCTACCAAAGCATGGAGGAGAAAATGATGTGAACATGGTGGTCGGTTGTCCAGGTGACTTCCCTATTTTTGATATTAATTTGGTTAGAGGAGATTTGCTGAAAATGCATGCAGACTTCTGTGAATTTATCTACTATACGCATGACCATGCCGGTTGTGCTATTTGCATCACATATATACAGGGTTGTGACAAGATAAAGGCTGATTTGCAGGAGATGATGGATGAGGGCCTCATCCACATAATCACTTCTAGGTATGAAGAGGAAGTAAACATGGTTTCTGGATGTCTTGGAGAGTTCATAATCTTTGATGTGGAATACATGAATGAGGATCTTGTACAATTGCATTCTACTTTCTGCCACATGGCTGGTCAGGAAGAACATCAGTATGGATCTTGCCGAATTTGCTACCGAGACTCCCGAGGATGTTCAATTGTAAGGAAAGGTGTTCAGTTGTTGTTGGATAATGGAACTATCAAGGTTACGGGACAAAGGGATGATTACCATGAAGTTAATGTGATTGAGGTCTGTTTGGCTGAAGAGGAGTCAGATGATGAGTATGCCTCCGCAGATGAGTATTTCTCCTCAGATGAGGATTTTTTTTCCAGAGATGACTCTGTAATGACTGATTGTATTGAAGAAGGAGTAAATGTTATTGTACCTTGTTTTGGTGCACCTACCACTTTTGAAGTTGAATATCATGGCAAGCAGCTGTTACTCCATTGGTGATTAGTTTTCCAGGTCCTGTCCCCTACAAGCCAGATAAGGTTGTACCCTATAAATATAAAGCTACAATCTTAGAGGATGGTGTGGAAGTTGCCATCCAGCCAATGCCTAATGTCGAAAATATTGCTGAGACTAGCAGAGTGACCCGCAGTGGTCGTGTATTTGCACCAGTTATTCATGGAGATGGTAGTATTGGAAAGAAAATTGTTAAAAATGTTGAACCCAAGAAAACAGTGGGTGAATCTAGTGGATCTATACTAGAAAAAGAGGTGGATGATATTTTGTATCAGCTACTGCAAACTCCTTCAAAAATATCTATCTTGGCTTTATTGATGAACTCCTCTGTTCACAGAGAATCTTTGATGAGGGTATTGAACCAAGCTTTTATGGAAAGTGATATTCCTGTAGACTAATTCAGCAGTGTAGTAAGGAACATTACTTCATGTAATAACCTGAGTTTCTGCAACGATGAACTGTCCGATGAGGGAAGTAATCATAATCTGGCCCTCCACATCTCTATGAACTGCAAGAATGATTCGTTATCCAATGTGCTGATTGATAATGGATCCGCATTAAATGTTATACCAAGGAGCATGCTTATGAAGTTGAAATATCAAGGAATGCCCATGCGCCCAAGTGGCATTATTGTGAAAGCATTTGATGGATCAAGGAAATCTATTATTGGTGAAGTGGACTTGCCTATTCATATAGGCCCAAATTTGTTTCAGAATACTTTCCAGGTCATGGATTTTGTACTCGCTTATAGCTGCTTACTAGGATGGCTGTTGATACATGAGGCAGGGGTTGTCACTTTGACTTTACACCAGAAGCTGGAGTTTGTACGTGAAGGAAAAGTGGTAATTATAAATGGAGAACATGCATTATTGATATCTCATTTGTCCTCTTTCAGCATTGTGGAGGCGGATGAAGCTGCTGTTGGAACCCAGTTCCAAGCTTTATCCATTGATAATGTAAGAGGATATGAGAACTCTATGGATTTGTTTAAGGATGCGCAACAGGTTGTGCGTAATGGCCATAGTGAAGTATAGGGACATATTGTTGATCCACCTGTAAACAAGAATAAAGCTAGCTTGCGGTTCTCTATGAAGAATAATAAGGGTAAGAGCATGAAGCCGAAGGCTACTACAGGCAAGTATCAAGAAATCTTTCATAGCGGAGGTTATCTGCACCCAACTGTTTCTGAGATTAATGCCATTGTGGAAGATGAAGCAGAGCCAAAAATGCCAAATTATGTGAAGCACGGAGTTAGGGTTCAGAACTGGATCACCATTTATGTTCCCTCTTGCATACATGTTTCAAAGTAATTTATTTTTGTTAATCTTTTTGAAAAGCTTTCACTCTGCACAAGGTGAAAGTATTAATGTTGTACGAGCTTATCTGTTTGCTGTGATTTTTAAATCACTAATAAAAGTTGTCTTTGTTTCCCAAATTGTGTCTTTATTTTCTGCTTTTTCTTGGAAAATGTTAATCAGAAAAAACCTTTCAAAATAAATAATAACTGAAATTCAATCTGCATGATCACTTGTTATATGTGTCAGTTTCTAAAAGCAATCATAAATCATATGTGCAGATTAATTAAAAAACCTATTGAATACAATTACCCTGCACCATCTCCCAACTTTGAATGTCATGTGTATGGGGCCGAAGAAGAAGACTATGATGAGATTCCATAAGAGGTCTCACGGTTGCTTGAGCGCGAGGAGAACACCATTCAGCCATATTAAGAGCCATTAGAAGTAATCAATTTGGGTTCAGAAGAAGATCCGAAGGAAGTCAAGATCGGAGCATTACTACATCCTGATGTGAAGAGCGGGTTAATTGATATATTGAAAGAATACGTGGATATTTTTGCCTGGTCTTATCAAGACATGCCTGGTTTAGATATAGATATTGTAGAGCACCATTTGCCGCTGAAGACAGAGTGCCCACCAATCAAACAAAAGTTGCAAAGAACTCACCCAAATATGGTAGTAAAGATGAAAGAAGAAGTTCTAAAGCAGATTAAAGCCAGTTTTCTTGTGACATCAGTGTACCCTCAGTGGATTGCCAATATTGTCCCAGTACCAAAGAAAGACGGAAAAGTCCGCATGTGCGTAGATTACAGAGATCTAACTAAAGCTAGTCCAAAATATGATTTTCCATTGCCACACATTAATATATTAGTGGATAGCACAACAAAATTCAAAGTTTTATCGTTCATGGACAGATTTTCCGGGTATAATCAAATAAGGATGGCTCCTGAGGACATGGAAAAGACAGTTGTTGTACCCCCAAAATTTTCCCTCTCATTGATAAAATATTTTCTCACAAGATCTCCTTGGGTCCAAGATTGCACAAAGATTGATCAGCTAAAGACACCTCCTTAAGCATTGATGACTGAAATTACAGTTTGAGATTGCACAAGGATAACTGAACTTTCAATGCCTCATATTACTTTCATGGATCATTATGGACCCCCAAGATTACTCATGTCAAGTTTCAAGCCTTGAATCACATTTTTGCTCAGTCAATTGAGTAGTTGACCTAAAAATCAGTTGTATTTGGGAAAAAGTCAATTGTGCCCAATTTATGGTAAAAATTCATAATTTTTAATCCACATAAACATTATAAACTCATTTGTATCATTTGATCAAGTTTGATCACAATTCCTCAAGAAATTTGATCAAATCATCATAAGGGCAAAATAGTCAAAATTAGGGTTTTGATTGAGAAAGGGCAATTTTTGATTTTTGACCTAGCAAATGATTATTTGGTTTGACGCATGATCTCAAGAGTTAAATTGCATCATTTTAACATAATGTCATGATTCAAAACATTGCTCAAAATCATTTGATTGATAGTTGATTTTCAGTCAACTGATAAAAAGTCAACTGTATATTGAAAAGTCAAACTTTGACTTTTTGGTCAAAATCAAGTATCAAAATCACAATTCGTCAAAACATGTCAAAATATGAAACTTGTTCATCAAGAAATCAAAAAGT